GAGAACAAAGTGTCCCACTCCGCCGCCACCCAGTCCATCTTCAGAGACATCACCGTGCCCACCATCACCATGACGACCATGACTTCCATGGCAACCGGGAAGCTGCTCAAATAGAGACGGACACAACTGCACAAAAGCCTCTTTATCCTTTTGATTTCATTTGTTTCACGCCTCCTAACGTTTGTTCCTCTTCTGGATTTGTTCTGATTGTTTTCTTCACAATAATAAAGATAAACTTGTACAAATGCAACAAGCCTCTGTTCATTGAGATGACAGGAGATTGTAGCTTTCCGTTTCCCTTCAAACTCCTCAGGCTGATGAACAGGATGGGACTCTAATGTTTTCTGGAGAACCCTATGAATGCACCATTAACTTTACTGACCCAGCTCATAGAAACTGCCCCTCTCAGCTGTTCCCCTGTTCCCTTTTTCCGGATGTCTATGTGGAGATGTGTCAAAGGGGGCAGGTAGAAGCACAGATTATCGTAGAATGGCACAATATTTAGATTTATTTGTGTTGGTTACTGACCCAGCTCATAAGCTACAACCTCAACTTCCAACTGCCCCTCTCAGCTGTCCCCCCTTTTCTTGTTGCCATGTCTTTGATTCGTAAAGAATGGCACAATATTTTGATTTATTTATTTTGGTCTTTTAGATGCCCTGTGTCATTAGATTGTAATTAACGAATAGCTACAGGTTCATTAGTGGCCGGTGCCTCCAGATTTGGCCCCTCATTGGCTGGATCCCAGCATGCCATGTCCTCCAACAGCTGATTGGCCAGAAGTCTCGGACTCTTTCATCTAAACTACGTCCATTTTATTTATTTATTTTAATTCATGTTTTTATTCACGTGACAAGGTCAAGTACAAAAAATGAAAATTTTTATTTTTATTTTTACAAAAACAACAACCACGCATTCCCTCCATTCCCCAGCCCTCCCCAATGCTACAAGATTATGATACAGATCAGTAATAACACACATCTTTCCTTCTTACCATACAAAAACATGTGAATAAAAAAGTATATAGACAATTAAAAAAGAGAGAGTAGTAAGAGTAACATAAACAAATAAATAGAAAACACCACAAAATACAACAGAACTAAGATGAAGCAAGGAGGAAAAGAAAATGTAATCAAAAGTCAGTTGTCAAAAGTGGACATTTCATTTGTCCTGTGGTGTCTTTAATCTAGCTATGTAACTAATCCATTTTAAATCACAGCAACAAAAAAAGGCCCCTTTAATAGCTTCCGTGGCCATTAGGGCTTCTCATCCCTCAGACACGGCCCAGAACCACCGTTCAGCCGGTGTCACGGTAATCTCGCGATACTTGGCAGGTGCTGCGATACTTGGCCGGGGCTGCGATACTTGGCCGGGGCTGCGCTTCCCCCGGCGGCCACACGGGGGCAGCAGCGAGCACCAGGCGGCGTAACATGGGCGAAGAAGAAGCAAGAGCGACTCTGTGTTGCTTTTAATTTCGGGATCTGTGGACTGGCGGACATGACTGGTCCTTTGTAGCCTGTGTGCCGCTGGAAATTGCCCGAGAGTTGGACGTCAACGGCAGCCTCACGCGGAGCCCCAACCGGAACCGGTAAGCCGGCTAACGATGCTAAGCTAGCTAGCATCCTCCATCTCAGAGAGACCTCCAGGGATGGAGACGGTTTCCCCCGGGGATGGAGACGGTTTCCCCCGGGGATGGAGACGGTTCCCGGGGATGGAGACGTCTCTCCCCGGCCTGGAGACCTTTCCCCGACCGTTAGACGTCTCTCCCCGGCCGTTAGACGTCTCTCTCCGGCCGTTAGACGTCTCCCCCGGCCGTTAGCCTTTCCCTGGTTCTCTGTTTTCCTCGTAGCTAACATAGATTTTAACGGCTTTTGGTGCTAAGTCTCGGTCCTCTTAGCCCAAATCCCGGCAGGTTTTAGCTGTAAAACGTAAACCGGGGGTCTCCGTGGGCAGACACGTCCCCCCGGGTCTCCGTACGGGGATGGAGGAGCCTCTGTCTGAACCGGGGAACGCAGATTAACGCGGATATCTGCTGGGTTTCTTTGTGTCTCCGGCCCCAGAAGCGGGTCCATAACCAGATCCAGCCCAGAGGGGCTTTAGGAGCTTCTCAGGGCTGGGACTGGACCCCTGGTCTGGTCATTTAGAGCCAGCAAAAGGTCAAGTTTGACCCCCTGGTTGAATGCTGCTTTCACCATAACCCCAGCTCTTCTTCCCCTGCTTGTGGATATATATATATTTTTATTTAACACACATATATATGTGTATGTTTAAATATTGGTATGTTGGTTCAAATCTTTCATCAGAATACTCTGTAATTCCTAGAATTGGTTCCAAAAACCTACGATAACTCCTTAATAAATACTGCAGATAATTACATATAGCAAGAAAACAAATGACTTCTAGAAGAGAGATGGAAAAAGAAATAATCAGTAAAAAGGGTTTTTATCGGCCCTTTATCTCAGAGACTGAAGAACGGAGGTAGAGGTGGTTCTTTTGAATTAATTTCTATCTTTTATATGTGTTTCTATGAATTTGACGAAGATATTGGAAATTTTCTTCGGGTGTGGAGTCGAATCTTTGATCAAAATTCACTTCGTATGTTGTGTATGTTTAGGCGTCAGAATCAAAAGTTCTGCTGTTTACATATGTATAACATTTAAAGAGAACCATCGACCCATCCATTTATTCATCCATCCATCAGTCCAACCTTCAGTCCCTCCCTCCACCCTCCTATAGGACCCCTATAGGACCCCTATAGGACCCCTATAGGGTCCCTGTAGGACCCCTATAGGACCCCTGTAGGACTCCCTGTAGGAATCCCTGTAGGACCCCTGTAGGACCCCTGTAGGACCCCTATAGGACTCCCTGTAGGGCCCCTATAGGACCCATGTAGGACCCCTGTAGGACCCCTATAGGACCCCTATAGGACTCCCTATAGGACCCCTATAGGACCCCTGTAGGACCCCTGTAGGACCCCTATAGGACCCCTATAGGACTCCCTGTAGGGCCCCTATAGGACCCCTATGGGACTCCCTATAGGACTCCCTATAGGACCCCTATAGGACCCCTGTAGGACCCCAATAGGACCCCTGTAGGACCCCTATAGGACCCCTGTAGGACCCCTATAGGACCCCTATAGGACCCCTATAGGACTCCCTGTAGGACCCCTATAGGACCCCTGTAGGACTCCCTATAGGACCCCTGTAGGAC